CAATTTACCTCAACATCGCCTGGCACTGAGAAGCAACAAAAGAGAGGCAAAGGGGAGATCTGCTCTGAAGGCTACTGTAGAGGAAGACGACGACGGAGGAAAAAAAAGAGATGTTCAAATGAGCTTTCTCTGGACCAAGGAGAGTGTAGTGCAGATGTTTGAGGGTAAGCAAGGAAATGATTTGTCGGTTGGGGCTGTGCCTCACTGAATAGCTGTTTTGTACTGGAAATTCAAGGCAGTTTATTACTCATAGAGATTCTGATGCACGCATCAGTCGTGAATGGACATAACATTTTTGCAGTTAGATTTAATGTGAATGTGAAAGCAGTTTTCAGTACAAATGGAATCAGTAATCTTGTAAATGAAGGAAAGCATGTCTTTGCATTAGCTCCACGTGGGAATCTTACTTCTATCTTACCTGAAATGGTAATTTAAACAGTAATTTTTCTTGACATTCTCATGTAATTTATTTCTTAACACTGCCATACTTTATAAGTTGCACCACTGGTGCGTTTTGGTTCATTAATCACATAATGTCTTCATTTAACTTCTTTCTCTCGAAGGTATTTTCTTTGAAATGTCATCATTACCTGTCATTTCAGTTTGGATGGGTCAATATTTTGGCAGAAAATAATGTCACCAGAAAAATCAAGGCCAAATAAAGGCACAAAACGGAAAAGAAAATGTATTGGCACTATCTGATCCAGTGTATTCCTGGGCCATTTATATTAATTACTTTGGGCTCATTCACTGCCTCACTGCACTGAAGTAAATCCACCTTAAAATGAACCATACAATCATGTTTAATCAGTTATGAAAATCTTTTGATTTTATATACTAGGCTAAATATATACTTCAACTGGTTACACGAGTATCTTTTATAAATATATACTGAAACAATAGGCCTATATTTTCTCTTTCTTTTGAATGTTGAATATCATTTTTAAACGAGCAGTAATTACATGAGACTGCATGGAGATGTGCGGACAAATTGAAGCTTGATTCAAAAACAGGCCTTGTCACACTGGATATGGTAATTCTGACGCACAGGTGATAGTAATTGATTGCTTGCATATGGCAAGAATCATAATCAATCTTTCTCTGTCTCTTTTTTCTCTCCTCTCTGCCATGATCCTTTGTTTCTTTTCTCCAGTGTATCAGGGTTAGGACCAAGACAAGCTGCTGATGGGAAGCTCCACATGGGCTGCAAGCCCATTTAGTCTGCCTTCTCTCATTTCTGCCTATTGTCAAATTGAATGTACTTCTCTCAGTTCATAGTTTCTTTTCTTTACTTGTTCTTTTTGTTTTTAAAATGTGCCACTGTTGAGCTGCCTCATGTTAATGGTGCTAAGAAAGCTGACAATTGTTTTCTCTCTTTCTTTTTTTTTTCATTTTCCTTTTTTCCTTTTCTTTCTTTTGTTTTTGTTTTCCCAGAGTTAACAAAAAAGAAATGCAAAATAGATTAGGTACCTAACCCTCTTTATGAATGTATATTATAATGTTATGTTTGATGTATTCACTTCATGATTCTTTGACATTGATTGGAATTACTTTTGCTCTTTTCATTAAAAGATTACCGAGCTTTATATATACTGTCTAGAGTTGTTACCAGAAGGAATCTTAATGAACTCTTGACACTACAAAATCTTGTATATTTTTTGTGTGCCAATTTGTAACATATTTTGTAAGTGTATATTTTTCTTAGAAAGTGCTGTGAAGTATTTGTGTGTGTGAGTAACCTTTTATGCGCCTCTATGGGCAGTGGAAAGGATATACAATGACAAGTTTCTGGTTTTAAAAACCAAAATATGAAAGTATCAACAGAAAACTAGAAATATTTACATTTTGTTGGGAGTTTTGTAATAAGACCATGATCTTGTTGTGAGAGTGTTGTGTTACTGTGCAAAACACAAATAAGCAAAGAAAAAAAAACATGAAAACCTGGAAAAAAAAATATAATTTGTGAACAATTTGCTGTTTTATAGATTTTCATGTAAATTATTTGAGTATTATTTTGTTTTTTTTGTTTTGTTGTAACTGTTGCAAAGGTTTTAAATATTTGTGATCAAGCCTGTATGGTGATAATGTAATATTGGTAACTTGCTGAGTTTTGTAATAATGTTTATGGAGTAAATATACAAATTAAAATAAGATTTTGAATGCTGCTTTCTGAAGAGAGTTGGGTTGTGTTTTTTACCGCCCACCCGTTGCTGTAGTCATTAACGACAGTATAAACAGTAAACATAGAATATCTACACTATTTACTGCTACGCAAACAAACTCGGTCCATTCAAAACAATAATTACAGAGGTGATGCATTTTGGAACAACTTACCGACATGTCAGGAGTGAAGTATATGTTATACATCTCATCCTTGTAGTACTTCTACAATAATAGTAATAGGGAAGAATCTGTTATACTCAGTGTTTGCTTTTTCCACAAAATATGTAAATACAAATGCAACCTCAATAATTCAGATTAGTCTGTCCTTATTTATTACATTGGAACATTCTTAGATGTAAGGCATTTTAATTTCTGCACAAGCCTGGCTTTGGCTCATGTTATTTTAATGTCATATCTAATTAGCACTCAGGGTCAGGCATTGCTAGAGTGACTGCTCATCCATAACTCTGAGCTGGGCTGCTGTGGTCCACACTGCAACTCATTCTGGCATGCTTAATTGGAGCTGGAGATACTGTCTCAGACCATAAACAGATCCTGTGATGTATGCCTCCAAAATTGTCAGGTGGTATTAGCATTGTTTTTGTTCTTTAGTCACCCATAGCAGATAAGGGAGCAGGCAAATTATAAGATGGAATGTCTAATGCAGTGGATCAGGTACACCTGTGGTTATTAAATGAGACCCTAGTTGTTTTGTCAGTGCGTGCTCACATTGCATGGACAGCCATAGACTCTCTCATTAGGATTGTTTGTGTGTTTGTTGTTTTTATCATTACCCAGAAGACTACGGAGTAACATTTTGAAAAGAATCAGCATGTCTGTTTCTCATGTAGGCGTGCACTTATTGAGTCAAATCACAAGAACCTACAAACAGCACAATTACTCACACTTTTTTTCTGGTTTGGCTGGCAATTTAATGTTATTATTAGATTTGTGTGTGTGTGTGTGTGTGTGTGTGTGTTTTCGTGCATGTGTTGTAAAACATAGCATTGCAGAGGCTTTCAACAACTGCCCAACAGCCTTCTATAGCTTTACTGTGTCCAATATAAATGAGGAAAAACGCTTTTTTTCCCCAACATGTGTCGGAAATAACTGCAATTGTGCTTGCTGGCTTTTTGCACAATGCTTTTAATAAAGGCCTGTAACTAGATGCCACCTATTGTCGAAGGGTCATCACAGGGTGTCGCAGCATGCTGCTGTATGCATCCCAGTTCCACTGACACATAGGTCTCAACCCTTCTATTGCCTGAGGTGTTTCTTCCTGTAAAAAAAAAAAAAATCTATATTTCTTTTACCTTTTAAAATGGTAATTTCAAGGATAAAGAGAAATGCGTACCATTCCCCTTGACTTCGACTTCACTATTGGACCTTCCTTATGTATTGAACACATTGTAAGTACATTTAGAGTGTCGCTGTAGTGGCTGTATGTCATTTACAACACAAAACATTCACTTTATAAATGCATTAAAAAACTGGTGCAAAAATCCACTTCGACACCATGGGGTAATATTTATATATATATATTGAAATGCAGTTTAACAGGTAAAAATATTGAATGTCTTGCGTATCATATGTCATTAACTAGTAGTTATTACTGATACAGATTACTGACAAAAAATTTAGGCAGAAGGTGTGACATCAATTTTGTAACACAGTAAGTTTTCTGGCTATTTATTTTGTATTGAAACCAGGGAAGAAATTAAACCTCAGTGGCAAAATATTTGAGCAAAAACGTTTATTTTTAATGAAGTAAAGTTAATTGATGCTACTGTTTTCTTGACTTTACAACACCTAGATTGGGAGACATGACATTTGCATTTTTCCAATTATCACCCAGATTTATGTTAAAAATTTGGGTGCTCATGATTACATGTGTTTCAGTCTTTTTTTCTTTTGTCTTTTTGTGCTATAATATAATTTGCTCATCCTCTGACAATGTAGCAGTGGTAGCTGTAGACAGTACATGAGGGACAGAGCAGAAATAGCCTATTAATCACTGCTGGCTGAAAAAGAAGTGGCATTGAATTAAGATGTGAGTGAGTGAGTTTATATGACACACAAATATGTGGACTACATACAACCATTTTTTGGGCAGCACATACTGTTTAACACACAGTCTGGCCTAAGCCGATTGTGTGCTACTTGTACAACACTGGAGACTATACAACTAAATGAGGCATTAATGACGCACAGCAGTTACATGGGATTTTAATTACACTACTGTTGCATGCATTTTGTCCATAACACCAACCAATTGTAGACGACTGTATTTGTTTCATTTCAAATAACGCTGTACTACAAATGGTCACAATGGAATTAATTATCACTACATAATGGCATAATATTTTAGTAACTATCATCAATTTAAGATGTGGTAAAAAGCCATTGAATGCAACATAAGTCGCACATGATTGTGCATGTAGGACAGATGGTTTTCTTAAAAGCCTTGAATAATGTTGTATTGGACATTTAAGCGCACTGGTGTGCCTGCAGATCTTTGTCTCCTAGTCTGAATTCTGCAGAAGGTAAGAGTATTTGCAATTACAACCGCACCGTGACGCTACAGCTGAACACTGCTACTCTGTCCAACACAAACATCCTTTTTTCTGATGCTCCGCTGAGAGACACGACATGTTGTGTTGCCCAGAGCTCAGTCTTTCAGGCAGCCCCACTTATCAGGCTGCGCACAGCTCGCCCATGGATGTATCATAGTAACCCCGCCTCACTCGCTGCTATTGGCGGACGCAAACTCAAACCATTTAGCCTGTGTTATCGCAGTGCCTGTGCGTACCTGGAAGGTTAAACTCAGGGGAAAATATTCTTGCGGTTCCAGTTTCCGGAAGATCATTGTAGCCTTCCTAAAAGAAAGAAAATGGAATCCTGAAATCGCACTTAGCTCATCAGTCAAGCGTTTTTGAGAGACTGTTAGAAGAACAATTTGAAAGTACGATTACATTGCTACTAACATCACCGAACAGGTAATGTAACCGCGATTTGATGACAGACTGTATATTCCTTCTGATAACATTTACTTTCATTAACTAGCTAATTTTAGCTTGTTTGCTCTGGTTGTGAACGTCACTGGTTGACGTCGCTTGCTCGGTTAGCTTGCGGTGATGCTAACAGTAGCGTCGGTGTCTTTCTTTAATTAAACTCTCATGTTTCTGTGGTATGAAGACATAACGACTAAAATGGAGTCCATGTCACGTTTCATGAAACCAACTATTTGTCCCAAATTAGTATCCACGTCAAGATAGTGTACCTGAGGACACCTAGCACGAAGTTACTGGCTAGGTTAGCGTTAGCTAATGTTAGACATGGAAGCTAACTAGCATTAGCATAGTGAGAGCTCAACACAACCAGGGTTGTTTGGTCGTCTAAGAAGCTTGTTTTGATCCGACGATAACGTTACACATGATACCGTAGTCACTCTATCGCCAGTCCTTCATTGTTTGCTCCACATATTACAACAAACACAGTCGCTTCTCCGTCATAGCTAACGCTCAGTTAATTGTGGTTGAAGTTGGCAGTATTTGTAACCGTGTACGATGCTAGGTAGCTAGCTAGCGTAGGCTAAGCTAGATGATGCCATTTTGTTTTTATCTCGACTTTGACCAACATACTGCTTTCCCACAGGACTACGAAAAACTCAGACCTTCATGTTATTCTCACGAATTATAGCTGTGATACATCCACAGTTTCTAGTTTGTTCAGGAAAACTACGTTACGATAGTCTCAATGATTTAGTTAGCCAGTGTTGTGTTTATAGTAAGTTTGCATGCCAGTTTGCTTTGTAACCGGTGGATGTAAATCATGCTAACATTAGCCAACAGTTGCTGGGTCGTCGTTCCCAATTATTGAGCATGTCGCATTGTGATGCTGTGTTTTGACCCGACTTTTCCCTTGCTGACAAGTTCTCCGGTTGATACTCTTGATATTGCATTCATTAGAGCTGACAGCGTGGAAATACTCAAAGGTGTGAAATGAGACAAGTCACGAACCTTCGGTGTTGACTCCCTGTTGCCTAATGCTTTCCTAAATCCTGAGTATTCTTATTAGAGGTTGAATCAATAAGTAATACATTTATCTGTTTTGTTGTTGTTGCTGCAGCAGCTGGATCTTGCTGAAGATCGGACAGCATCCCTCAACCTCCCTGCCTTCTGAATCGATGGAGGGGTCTGACAGTTCTGAGCAGAGTGGCAGTGACCAGCCAGAGTCACAGCGCAGAAGGCAGCTGGACCGCCTGGACAGGGAGGAGGCCTTTTACCAGTTTGTCAACAATCTGAGTGATGAGGACTATCGTCTCATGAGAGACAACAATCTTTTGGGCACTCCAGGTAATTAACATTTAATTACAGTAGTCTTCACTCTTGTGACTGTAATCTCTGACTGTGGAAATGGTGACGTTTGTATCATATTGAGCAACTCAAAGATAGGGCTGGGTATCAGTGCTCGGTACATTCCAGGTATTCAGAGTGGATTTAATTGATACCAGGCCACATCACACAGAAGCCTGACGGATCTCATTAAGCACATGTGTAATATAGGATTCATTCATTTTCAGTTTAGTTTTACCTGTTTTTTTTTTTTGTTTTGTTTTTGCCTTTGTTTCTTTTCAGCTAATAACTAAAGCCCCACTGTCATTTCATCTCTCCTATTCTATGCTTTGTCTGAGCTGTATTGAATTTCATTCCTCCCTTTCAAAGTTTCAAACTGTTGGCTTACAAAAAGATTAAAAAAGTGCTAATATAGATTTAGACAAACTCAAACCAAGACATTATTATTATTTGTTAAAAAGGCTCACATCAGGTCTAGCTTGATGCAGAGGCTGGGCATGCGCAGCCACGTAGGCTACCAATCACGGGAGCGCTCCTGCCTTATTAACGACCCAGTGGCACAGTGAGGACAGAGGAAAGTGTCTGCTGCCTGAAAACTCCAGTGCGGACTGCTTTGCCCTTCTCATACTTGGAATGTGACACCCCACTACGTGTGTTCTGATGACGCAGTAAGTTTTGCACATCGTTCTTCTGGAAACGGACTGTTAACAGAGTTTACCAGATATGGACATGTTCACTACTTGGTCACAGACAGTTGACACATATTCCAAGGCCTTACCATTATCTGTGCCAAAGTGATTAGTTATCGATCGATTTGGATGTGCTGGATGTGATGAAAGCGGTTGTCATGTAAACATTTACTTCCCAGGCATTAGAATGCCTCCTCTTTACAGCAAGCAATCTCTAGAGTTTTTCCTGCATTGTTAATGTGTGTTCTTCTGTAATTTCCTCCCATACAGATAAAACACTAACCTATGGGCTTGCTGTGCTGTGCTGTGCTGTATGCTGTTGCATTCACACTAAAGAATGAAAGTTATCCATCATGACTTATTTACACTTTGTCAGGTGCTTTACACCAGCAGTTTTCATTATTGTCCCGTTGCTGCTTAAAAGAAATGGCTCAAGTGCCCAATACAGTTCAAAATTTACCACCAGTCCTTTTCATGTACAACATTTCAGCGTAATGCAATCTTTTTTTTCCCTATACTGGTTCACTTCCAGATTTGTTGCTGTTACAGTTTGTCCCTCTGCTGAATCCCCCTCTATCTGTCCATTAAATCAGAAAATGTTTGATCTTATTATAGGGAGTTAATCTTTTCTGCTCAGCCACCTGCAAATGACTCTCTCTCAGGTTACATTGGTGGTCAGGCTAGAGAAGAGGAATTGTAAGAAACCTTAATAACCTTCAAGGAATACGTGGATTGCCAAAAAATATTTTTTCTTTTTTTAATAACAGACCGTTGTTTTGTGTTGTAATGTCTCTTTCAGGAGAAGTAACGGAGGATGAGCTGTTTAGCAGACTTCAGCAAATCAAGGATGGTCCAGAACAGCAGAATAACAGTACTAGTGCCCCCAGTACTGAAAATGGAGAAGATCCAGTTGGTAAGTTTGGCATTTTTTTTAAGAAAATTTATTCACCATCAAATTCAGATAATCTGTCAATTGTTAACTCTTCTGATTTTCAGAACCACCAGAAAACCCTGAGGATCCTGCCAATGGGGATAGTCTCTTAGACTGGCTGAACACAGTGAGGCGCACAGGCAACACTACCAGAACTGGTCATCGCGGAAACCAGTCATGGCGGGCCGTAAGCCAGACCAACCCAAACAGTGGGGATTTTCGCTTCAGCCTCGAAATCAGTGTGAATCGGAACCTGGCTGAACAGCAGGCAGCTGCTGAAGGGGAGCAGGAGCCTCCACAGGAGTCTTCCCAGGAATCTCCAGAGGGTCAAGAAGTGGTGGCAAATGCTGAACCGCAGGTGCCTATGGAGACAGAAGTGGTGGAGGAACCAGTAGTAGAGGAATTGGCTGTCATAGTGGAGCCAGAGCCTGAGCCAGTGCCTGAGCCTGTGCTTGAGCCTGAGCCTGAGCCTGAGCCAGAGCCTGTGCCTGAGCCGGAGCCTGAACTAGAAGAAGTTGTTTCACAAGAGATTTTAGGAGAACGTCCCAGCTCACCTGCTGCCCTGCCTGTACAACCCCCACTTTCTCCTTCTCCACGTAGAGGACAAAGGAGAGCCCGCAGCCGTAGTCCAGAGCCACGCAGGACTAGGGCCCGTACAGCCAGGAGCCGTTCCCCTCTCAATCTGGATCAGCTGGATGGTCTCCCTAATTCACGTCATGCTCACTCCTCTCAAGGCATCAGCTCTTCCACCAGTGTCTCCCCTGTGCCTCAGGTGGAGGGCAGCTCTCGGACTCGACAACATGTTCTTTCTAGGCAAAGCACTGCTGACAGTGATGTTCAGCCATCTAGAGCTGGCGAAGAAATGGTCCCTGAGGCCCAAAATGTAGGATCTCAGGAAGGAGAAGCTCCTGGGGGTGAAGGGGGTGCAGCAGGGCGCCGTCCCCCTACTATTATGCTTGATCTCCAGGTGCGTCGTGTGCGTCCAGGCGAATATCGCCAAAGAGACAGCATTGCTAGTCGCACCCGTTCACGCTCCCAGAACTCAAACAACACATTTCTTTACGAAAGTGAGCGTGGTGGATTTCGTAGGACTTTCTCACGCTCTGAGCGTGCTGGTGTGAGGACCTACGTCAGCACTATTCGCATACCTATCCGAAGAATCTCCGATGCAGGTTTGGGAGAGGCAACCTCAATGGCTCTCCAGTCTATGATTAGGCAGATTATGACTGGTTTTGGTGAACTCGGCTACCTCATGGATTCAGATTCTGATTCTTCAGATTCAAACCGCGGAGCCAACACACCTGCGGATCTGGCTGAAGCCCTCAATAACCCAGATGCTCCTCCTGCTGCTGCTCCTATTGCTGATGTTGATGAACCACCTGTGGCTGCTGGAGTCAGAGCAAGGACAGCTGAGACTGATATTGATGAGGGCCTTGCCGCTGCTCCACCTGCCTCTGGTGGCAGGGCCCGACCTAGACCACCTATCAGCCTAGAGGAGCCCAGCTCACTGCCCTTCCTTCGGCTTGCCCATTTCTTCCTCCTAAATGACGACGACGAGGACCAGCCCCAAGGGTTGACCAAAGAGCAGATTGACAACCTCTCAATGCGCAACTTTGGTGAGAGTGATGCCTTGAAGACTTGCAGTGTCTGCATAACAGAATATGCAGAAGGTAACAAGCTACGTAAGCTGCCCTGCTCACATGAGTACCACGTGCACTGCATTGATCGCTGGCTATCGGAAAACTCCACTTGCCCCATCTGCCGCAGGGCTGTCTTGGTATCAGCCAACCGAGAGAGTGTGGTGTAGCTTATAAAAGACTGAGGACATTTTGTTTCAAACTAAGTAATCTTAATATCTCAGGCCCATAAGAGGCTTTGAGGAAATGTGTCTCCACTGTTGAAATGTATTTCCTTCATACCATTTGTGAGTTTGATCATAAAGCAGTCACAGGTTTGATTTGGGGTGCTCTATAACAGTGACATCGGGACATACTCAGTCTCTAGTAAGACATTTATTATGGCAGTCCAAAGTTAGGCACAAGCAATGCATGTTGTTTGAATCAACCTGTAGTGACCAAGCAGTTTGTTGCATTGCGTCAAGCCATGCACACAAGCAGGCCGGTATCTCTTAAAGAATCCCCTGGTTATAAATGCTGCACACCTGCAGGTAGTTCAGACACATCTGCTCTTTTGTATTAGCTCCTAAATGGCGCTTTATATACCAGAAGTTGGGTATTGGTACAGTTCTTAGTTAAACCAGTTCAAAGTATTAGCTGTAAATAAGCTTGTAAAAATAATTTTAAATCATACTTTGTATCAGTGAATTGGTTTTGGATTGTAAATTATCTCATAAGAAGATTAGGGTCATTTTTGCCACAGCTACTCTCTACCAGAGCATCCCTAAATTTGCTGTTAAAGAAATAGGTGGTTTCAGTGTACACAGCAGAATTATTAAGAGATTGAGATGTCCAGAGGATGTAGGACATTAATTGATTTGCCATTTACAGTGTAACTTCTACTCTCTGTTTGGTGCACCTGAAAGAAACAGACTACTGTTGTAGAGTGGCATATACCATGAAAACTCTCAGTGTGCTGAATTGTTTCACAAAATAAAATGTACAGACAGGAAAGATAATTCAAACCAGGCTACTTTGGCAAAATGTGTATGTTTATTTTGGAATCATATACTATCTTATTTCCTTGATCATTAAAAATTATTGAATCGTATTCATACCAGAAATTGGGGATGTCTCAATATTGGTAGTAGATATGGGTTTATATCAAGTTCTTGGCATGTGAATATCCCCACCTCAAAAATACTAACAGGCATGACATGTCAGAAAAAGAATATACTTGCTTTTGACTTTTCCCCCCAAATGTAAGGGTGTTTATTTTTTAATGTACAACAATGATTTCTCAATCATTTTGTCCTGTCATCCATCAGGTCTGATTTCTTTATTTTTCCACTCCCACATTGAGTTGTCTTAAATTACTGACTGATGAATTAAGTTCTCTAAGCTGGTCTTGGCATAGATCGAAATGACCAGAAATTGTGTTAAAATAAAATGTCAACTCAAACCAGAATAGAGGTCCACCTCAATGTACAAGTGAGAACTTAAGTTATTAATCCAAAGCTTTGAGTATCAGACATTAACCAAGTCTGAACAAAGGTCACATCATTGTCCTTCTGTCTAAGTAAGGCTCCAGTAGAAGTCAAGATGCTCACCCACTGTGCCCTTCTGCCCCATGAGCAGATGCTCCATACCAGTGTGCAATACATGCTAATGAAAGTAGGGAAATACAAACCAAGATATAAATGTATGCTATTGTTAAAACTGTTAATGTTAATGGCTAAAATCTTAAATGAAGACTTATTACCTTTTTAAAATGTGTTGAAGTTATTTTATTTTATTTAGTTCTGTAGCTTTTAATAGCACTGTCGATGAACAGAAACACTGGCTAAAGGAAGAAAAGGGCATCACAGTTAATGCCATCATGTCATGTTTCTTGTTCCACTGTTAGATGTCCTTGCCACAATTATTACTTCCCTTTGTGGGACATAACAGTTTGAATGCAAGACATTGTCATTGTGAAATACCATAAACATGTAAATGAAATGTATGTTCCCTCTTAGGCCATTCTTTAGTTTTGGCCTTGTTCTGTGACCCACCCAGTGCAGTATGTTAACTGGGTGTTAAATGAAACTAACCGCTGAATTAAACAATTGTTATGCTAAAAAAATGCATTGCAGGTATGCCTTCTGTACACTATCGTGGTGTTGGGTTATTATTACCTTTATCTTAAATATTCAGCAGTTACAACATACTTTTATTTTCATTTTGCTTGGATCTGACATATTTTTTCCTTACCACTGCATATTTAGGCTTTTTTAAAATGTAATTTACAACCCTGATTCCAAAAAAGATGGGATGCTGTGTAAAAGGTTAAAACAATGTAATGATTTGTAAATGTTTTTCCACCTATATTCAATTAAATGCAGTGAAAAGGAGACAATATTTAATGTTCAAACTAATAAACTTTGTTTTGGTAAATATAGTCATTCTGAATTTGATGCCTGCCACATCCAACATCCAGCCACCCACAAAAAAAGTTTCTTTTAACAACACTCCGTATGCTTTTGGGAACAAAGGACACTAATTGCTAAGTTTTGAAAGTGGAATTTCTTTCTCAAGATTCACAGGCACAATCTACATGGTTTTAAGACTGACTGTGTGGAAGAAAAATCCCATCAGAACACTGAGAGAGATGCGTTTCTTCAGACAGAAAGCATCTTGACACTGGCATTGCAAACAAAGGCTTCTCTAAGTATGAAATACATTTCAGCTGGTGTGTTCAATATTTTTTCCTGTATCATTCCCCTTAATTGCTCATTGTTTTTATGGATTGAAATGTGATGATTATTTTATCAGTGTAGCTTTATTCAGTTAATACCAATGTCTCATCTAAATTTAATGTGAATAGCTGCATTGGAAATATGTTTAGTGTAAAGGATTTTGATGTGTTGAAAATCTGTTTCCTAAATCACTGTATTCTGTTTTCATGTAGATTTTACACAGCATCACAACTTATTTTGAAATCAGGGTTGTGTCACTCACATGCACCTTTAAAGTTGACCCTGTCTGCATTGCAAGCAGAGGATGGTTAGTGTTCACTTCCCCTTTTATTAGCATGAAAGAGCCCATCCATTGGGCTCTTTATCACATTACACTTACACATATATGTAATCATACATGATGCATTAGTCCACTGACACTGGGACAGAGAAGTGTTATCATCAGCACCTCCTGCTGGTAGGATCTGGGAAAAATTCCCATTCATTCCCCAGCTGACAAATAAAATACAAAGCTTATGTTGTGTGCTCTCAGGTATGATCTCTGTTACAGGCAGACGTCGAGGAAGTGTGGCAGACAAAAAAATGTTTTGTAAATGTGTCCACTTGTGCCCCCTTTTGTCATTTCTCGGTGCTTTTACCATTAATAGTGTTGCAGCAGATATCACTAGTTCACAGTCCACAGAGGTAGGAAAACAAGGAAGTACCAGTCTGAGGCAGTGATGGCGCTCCGGACGGTTGGGAGTCGTTTGTTGCACTTTCAGAGGAGCAGCTTGAAGGTAAAGTGTGTGGTTACCTGCTAATTTAGCTAACTGCTAACGGTACACTTAATATTAACGTATTCTTATGAACACTGTTTTTACTTGCGTTTCACGTACGAACTGACGTAACGGCTGTAGACTTTAGAGAAACCGTTATCACGTCAGCAAAATTACCGACTTCATTTAATATAATACTATTTAGTTTTCACTGGAGGACTGAACATATGAGCTCGTTGCTAAGCTAACAACATCAACGTTTTGCTAGTCGGTTCAAGTTACGCGTGACTTCCACCTTTCAGATCCTCACAGGATGCCGTACTCTTTCACCACACAGTGGCGCTGTTGATGCCAAATTAAACAGGGTGTCTGAAAATCCTGAAAAAGACTTAAAATATCTTTAATTTAACACATATCACCTTCAAAGTCATTAAATAGTCTTACATTAAAATTTCTTACGTCTTAATCACCGCAGACGTTTTCATCTAATTTGATTTATCCATCTTTTAATTTCGTTTTGTCAAAATGAGTCAAGCTCTTCTGCATGAAAGTCCTTATTTCTGATGTTATTTATCTTTAAACCTACCACTAAACCTAATACTGTCTTTTTGCTATAACCTCTGGAGACCTGAACTTTGTTTGGTATGCAATTTTAATTTGTCTAAGCAATTTGGGATCAGTTGGCCCCAATAAATATGAATAAAAAAACTCAACATTGTTGACAATAATTAAGTCTCAATGTCCTCAAACGAGTACTTCCTACTTCTTCCTAATTCCTAACAGCATCTTAGCTTGTTACTGTCGCTAAATTATCATATCAAACTACAAACATTATTTATCATAAATAAGCAAGTTTGAACCATTTAATGTGATCAGGTTTTGGACCTTTTTTGACTTTTGTGTTGGGATCTGCTGCAGATTGACCTGGCAGAGATGGCTGCCATCTTGTTTTTAGATGGATTAGTGTATTGTGTTACTGCCACTACAATAAGTAAAATGTGATGTCCTCATCTAGGGCACAAGGTCTCAGGAGGTTATATTTGCTGTTACCTGTTGGCAATATTGAGGTCGACCTAACTCACTCTAATAACCATATTCCTGCATAAAACCTACTTCTTCACCAGGCTATATGTATATCCTACTTACCATTTCATTTTTTACTTAGTGCTTGAATAAGAAGATGATGATTTGTCCAAAAGTCAGTCTTAAATTTGATTAAAACCAACCTGAAAAGGTCCTAAAAAGCATTAAATTTAAGTGTTTGATACCCACAGACACTGTTCAACTGCAATACCCTCTCCAATGTTGTTGTCATAAACTTACTGTATTTTAATTTATTTGTCTCATCTATTTCAGACTGTCTCCATCCAAACACTTGGAGGTGTCAGATTCAAACGAGCCTGTCCAGTGGAAGTGAGCCATCTGGATCATTTGGTTCTTACAGTAAAAAGTGTGCCAGACACTGTAAACTTTTATACCTCGGTCCTTGGCATGGAGGTGATCACTTTCAAGGTATGCAAAAGTAGTGTGTACATTAAATTATTATCATTACTATTATTAGTAGTAGGAGTAGCAGTTGACATGATTAATTATTGGAAATTAATTATTGAATAAAACAATGTCGGTAGGGTTTTACATGCATTATTTACAGGAATCAGGAAAAGAACAAGTAAAATCCTCTTGTGCTTTTTGTTTTTGAGAAAACATCCACTAGATGGCAGGCTTTGATTGCATGTCAGCTGAGAGCAGCCCTCTCCACTCAGTCAGTCAGCAAGGACCTTGAGCTTTCAAACTGCTCTCCACACTCACACATACCATCTTTGTTATTTTCAAGGGAAACCGTAAGGCCCTGGGTTTTGGCCAGCAGAAGTTCAACCTCCACCAGCTGGGTCAGGAGTTTGAGCCCAAAGCTAAGCGCCCAACCTCAGGCTCTGCAGACCTGTGCCTCATCACCAAAACCTCCCTTGCTACAGTAGCTGCACATTTGAAGGTCACTCACCAGTTTCATAAAGACTGCCTTAAATTATGAATCAGTCTTAATCTTGTAAAGTGGCTACTCCTTTAAAACCATTTGAGCACTAGTTGACTTTGTATGTCATTTGTCATATGTTGTTTCTCTGCAGGATTGTGGGGTTGAGATAGAGGAGGGACCAGTGGAGAGGACTGGAGCTGTGGGGACCATCACCTCTCTTTACTTCAGAGATCCGGATCACAATCTCATTGAGGTGTCGAACTATAACCAGTCAGTATAAGAGGGATCTTCCTGAGACTTCTTAGACCTTGTTTTTGAATGAATTGGAATGCATCCAGTTTTGTCTCTTGGACCCATTATTAGGTTTGAGACCAAACTGTAGGCTAATTCAGACAACTCGTACTATTTTGAAACAGAGGTAGATGAGATTAGTTTGCTAAGACAATAATTCAGAATAACAAGTGAAAAATTCAACACCTGTAGATGTTTAACAGTTTGATCAAGTGCATACTTCTGGAGATTTTTTGTACTTTGTCAAGTGAAAGTGAGCATTAAAGAATAATTACTTTTTCAGCTGAAAATAAAAGATTTGTTTAGTGTATTTAAGCGCTGTTATTTCTTTTTTTTGACACAATGTAACTACCTCTTAAGGTTACATGAGCCTTTACCATTATGTTTTCATGCTGTCGTCACTATGGTTGCTTAAAGGGGCAGTAAGTGGAAATTCATCATTTCTAGTTTGAAGGAATTAAAAAATCGCTATGTGAAGAACTAGAGGTGTAATTTCATCTGGAGTATAGCATGACCTCACACACCCTCTCTCTGTGTTGATCTCCAGCCCATTGTTTACAAGCCGGTCCGGCTGCGCGTTGATGTACGTTCATGTGAATATCCCCCCCCGGAGCCCTTGGCCCTCCCTCCCTATAAAAGGCTACAGCCAGTGAGCAATGGCAGCGCATATTTTCAAAGCGAAATGGCGGAGAGCGGAACGAAACGTTCACCTGAAGACGACCAGGATCCGACATTACCTCTAAAGAATCAATGGTCGTTGGCAAAGAAGTTGTCGGATAAAGAAAGGGACAGAACTCAGATTAACATTGGCCTTGCATTTCCAAGGTGGAGAGCACTGCGAGAGCTAAAGGGGCTACAATCTGACTCTGAGCTAGCTCTTCTTCTGGACAGGTAGGCTAAGTAACAACATGAAGTCAAATGTCTATTTTAATTAGTGTCGGCTGACACCGGCTACTGGAGTAACTTACAGCTATGAAGCGCTTCTACCAGCTCTTCTAGTCACTGAGCCTCGCCTCCATCTCAGCAAATATATTACATTTATTACAGGTACCATCGTCATTGAAGTAGGCAGGGGAATAGCTAAACACAACAGAGACCAAGAGTGAGTGAAAGACATCGCTAACTGCTAAACTCATTTTAGATGAGGCGAGTGGGGGCTGGGGGTGGAGAGCAGAGGTAGAGGGAGGTGTGGCTCACGACGCACTTTGTTTTGGTCGACAGGCAGTACACAACAGCGAACCTAGCGGTGAAACAATTTCGCTTTTTGCCCCTTTAAGCCATTTATTGTTGCAGTATTTCAGTTTGATTACAGTCTTTTGTTTATCAAGTCATTTGCTCATTTGAATGGAGAAAATTACAATTGCTCATC